CTTCTCCGCTCCAGACCCAGCCTCTGTCCCTGCCTTTGTGATGCTGGCCTTGGGCCCCGTGAACCCCCATTTCTGCTTTGCCAGCTGTTCCCTCTCAGGTTCCCCAGTAGGAGCCTCTAAAGGGACACTACAGGCTGGAGGTTGAAGGGTGGGCATCTCCTTCCTTTTTGCACCTGTGTGTTCCCCGTGAGCATCACCCTGACCCCACTTCTTCACCCCAGCGGCAGCAGGCCCACCCTGATGCAGCAGCAGAATCCAGTTTGCAGTTTTTCCAGCGCTTAGAGCTTCATCCTCCACTACCCACCCCCAACCCCTGCCCCAGAATCCCCAGCACCAGCAGGCAGGTGCCCTTTCCTCTGGGGCCTGGGCACAAGCATCCTTCCTTCCTGCTCAAGCCTCCACTGAGGTCTGGGTCCCCCTCCTCTATGTATGGAAGGCTCAGTGATTCCAGCCTCTCCTTCTGAGCCCCCCGAAAGGTAGCTGCTACTGCAGTTGTACCCCTGTGATACCTAAGCACACTCCTGTCACCCTTCTGTTACCTAATTAACAACTTTGTACCTAGTTACCAATTCTCCACATTCAGTTCTCCTTTCATCTAACTGATGTGGCCTCTGTCTCCTGTCCAGGCCCCAACTGACACAGGTGGGGAAGAGCTGAAGTCTCCCGGGGGCTGAGGGCTTGCTTCTCTTGGCCGCCCTGCAGAGAGCTCCCCTCCCTCCTCCATTCCCAGAATTATTTGGCTGCTGGTTGCCAAGGAGACGCCTGACAGTTTCCAGTTGCCAAGCCTCCCCCTGGAGCTCTACGGAGACATTCTGGAAACTCCCTCCTCCTTCCTGCTCCCCAGCCAGGGAACTTGGAGAATCGAGCCAGGTTGTGTGCATGTGAGGTGGGTGGGATGTGGGGGGTGGGGAGGGAGTAGACTAGGCCTCAAGATGGAGAGAGGAGAGCTTTCCTTGAGCTTTGGCTTCCTCTGCAGACCCCGCCGCTGGGCCTGGCTCTCCCTTGGCCCTGTCCAGACAGACCCTCACTGGGCCCCACCAAGGCCAAGCTCTCCAACCAGGCCCTCAGTCACAGAAAGCTGCCCTAACACTGTCACTCCGGGCATGGTGGGGGCCCCATGGCCAGCTGGAGCAGGGAAGGACCCAGAACCTCTGTTGGGGAGGAACCCCAGCCTTGTCCTTCCGCGGAGCAAGCACTCAACATTCACTCAAACCTGGCGTCACGGCCCGGCTCCGTGCTGCCTCACAATGACAACAGCAACACGGGTGGCAATAACAGCAGGGAGGCGGGTGGGACTGATTCCACAAACGTACTTGTGCAAGGGTCCCTGTTCCTTTATGTCCTTAAAATCAAGTAAAGTTGACTGCATGCTTTACGGGGTATGGAGTCCTGCCCCTCCCACCAGAATCCAGGAGGCTTATGAGGTACCAGATCCAAGGAGAAGCTTCTGCCCTCATGGCTGCTCCTGAGCTTGTCCACTGAGCCCCTGGGAGGTCCCCGCTTCTCCGCCCCCCACGGCTCAGGGGCCTGGCCTGACATCCTCTCCCAGGGACCCAGAGACCTCCGACCTGTCCCCAGTTCAGGGAAATCGCTTCCTCTTGACTCTAACAGCCTCCAAAGCCTCCTTCCTTTCTCCTTCTCATCACTTCCACTGAGACCACCTTAACATGACTTTTCAGTGAATTTAGGCTTTTACAAAAATAGGGAAATACGAACTTTGCTGTCAAGCAGGTTTTGCATCCACCCTGTAAAAATCCCTGAGGCAAAGTGGAATGGAAGACCTGCCTAAGGCTGCTTCATGGCTTTGAGTTTCACAGACGTATTTTAAAGAAAAGGCACCATTACATCTCATCCCTGAATGTTTTAGAATTCACTAAAATACAAACAGAAACGTTGTCTGACAGAAAC